CGAAATGCATCCATTCCTGGCAGTGTGTGGAGGAGGAAGCAGTACCAAGAGGCTATTTCCCAGATGGATGAGATTACAGCCTATTTGCATACTGATAGGAATGATTGGATAGCAAGGGGGAAATGATGACGCAGAAAAGAGAGGGCAATTGGGGATCTTGTCCTAAAATTCCTGGCATGTATGTTAGAGGGTCATTCTCTCTCCTGACAGATGGATGAACAAGGAATTGCATACATAATTGCCAAGACTCCTCCCAGCTATGGAATTCTTGAAAAGCCCCTAATGCAGGCCCTTTGAGGTAAAGAAACCACAACTGGAAGACAGTCACCTGGGGTCCTAGGGGCATGACTCATCAAAGCAGAAGGCTTACCCTAGTCTGGTAGATAATATATCTCCTTTTATTGAAAATACTTCTTGCTATGTCCTTAATGAAAAGAAAGTGTCAGTGCAAGGCAGCCAGTCCAAAAAAAAAAAAAAAAAACACACAAAGTAAGAATGGTGACCAATGAGGAAAGTAGAAAATAAAAGGACTTACAGGGTGGAAAGCAATGTCCATTCATCAGCATTCTACCAAGCCACTGTGGACCCGGAACTGTTCTAAGTACTGCAGGTACAGGAGATGACCAGACATGAAGTACCTGCTATCAGAGAATTAATTGTGAGGAGGCAGTAATAAGTAACTAAGCAGAAAAAGGATGACCAGAACCACAACACCCTTAGGGTCTTTATAGTATCTGGGTTCGGGGTACGACTGACTACTTTTAAACTTTGGTGACACATTAAAGTTTACATGTTTTAAAAAAAAAGTTTAAAAAGGTTTATGTGTGATTATGAGATGAACAGAAATATAATACTTGAACAAGGAGAGAAGAGAAAAATAAGAGAACTCAATGATGCCAGTAAAAGGCAAGAAAGAAAGGGCAAAGTCAGAGGGAGCAAAACAAATAGAAAGCACAAAGGGAGCTGTCGTATGGTGCTGGAAAAAACCTAAATAGAGCAGTATCACAATAAATATTCATTGACTAAACTTTCATAATTAAAATACAATGCAAAGATTTTTGAATTGAATTAAAGGAATAATCCAGAACTAGTGGTCTATAGGAATCACACCAAAATATAAGGAGAAAGAAAATTAAGAAATTAAAAATATTAAAAAATAGTCCCGGGAAATACTAATCAAAATAAAAATCTTATTTAGTAGAGACTATATAAAGGAAAAAAAAACCAGTGAAACAATGTAACTATTCTAAATTACATGTAGTGAAAAACAGTTTCGTATTTATAAAGCAATAATTAATTAAAGTACAAACAGGAAAATCGCAACTATATTAAGTCACCTCTCAGTAATTAGCAGATGAAGTCTATCAAAAAGTTATAAGGTGAGGACAGCAGGTGACATAGTGGTAAGAGGTGCTGGATTCCCACATGGGTGACCATGGTTCAAGTCCTGGACCTGGTGGTTTGCTTTCTCACTTTCTTTCTCTCTCTCTCTCTCTCTTCCTCTCTCTCTCTCTCTCTCACACACACACACATACACACACAAACACACACACACACACACACACACACACGTGCCCTATAGCAAAATTTTAAAATAACAATAATTAAAAATTAAATAAATTTTTTTTAAAAGAGAGAGAGTTTTTTGCTATAGGGCACATGCGTTCCCTGGAGAGACAGAGACAGAAATACAGAAAGTAAGAAGCCAGCCCCCAGGTGGTAGGGCCACACAGCAATCCCTTCTTCTTCATTCTCTTCTCAGGATCTTGGGCACTCACTCACCCACACCTGGCATGAAGTTTAAGCCTCCAGGTCCAGGATTCAAACTACAGTTAACTACATGAGAATCCAGCAACATAACCATTACACCATCTGCTGGTCCCCTAAAATAAATACTTCTTTTAAAAAGAAACAAAAATGTTATAAGATAGAAATTTTGAACAAGATTAATAAATGTTATCTATTATATACAACACAACAATGTACATAATTCTCAGTAATATGTAAAATTTTAACAAGATCATTTACCAAATGCATCTTGAAAAATTTCACAGATGCTGTACCATACAAAAAGTAACTAGAAACCAACAAACAACAACAACAATAACAAACATGTATTTGAGTTTGTAGAAACACCTATGTAATAACTCACGGGCTAAAAATAAATCAAAATGTTAATTAGAAAATTCTAAAAATTGGGAGTAGTAGGTGGAATGGAGGATAAGGCAGCTGGATCCCACATGACAGACTGCACAGTTCCAGTCCTGGACCCGGTGGCTTGGAAATTACTCTGGGCACATGTGCGTACATGCCCAAAATCCCATGAGGAGAATAGAAGAGAAGGAATTACAGTGTCATCATTCCCCTAAGGGGTGATTTCCCACTTTCTCTCTCTGTCTCTCTCTCTCTCTCCTCTCTCTTTCTCGCTCATAAGAACATTGGCCCTATAGCAAAACTGAATGAATAAACAAAATTTAAAAATCTTAAAATTTAATAATCATAAAAGTACTATATATCAAATCTTGTGGTGGTATTTAAACAGAAACTTATAGCTTTGGATGCTCACTTAGATAAGAAGAAAAACCTTAATATTAATAAGCAAGACATCCAACTCAATAATGAGAAAAACAACCCATGGAAGAGCCCAAGGAAAATAGAAAGAAGAAAACACAAAAAGCAGATATTGATGAAAAAGGAAATAAGAAATGGTACTGCAATTCTAAAAATCAGAGAACTGTTTAAAACTTTATACACAATTGGGACCAGCAGTTAGCATAATAGCTATGTCGCTGAACTCCCATGTAGCCAACTGCGGTTCGAGTCCCGGACTCAATGACTTAAACTTACGCCGGGCACATGTGCATGTGTGCCTAAGATCCCAAGAGGAGAATGGAGGAGAAGGGATTGCGGCATGGCCATCCCCCCTGGGGGGTGATTTCTCGCTTTCTGTTTCTCTGTCTTTCTCTGTCTTTCTGGTCAGCGCACGCACTCTATAGCAAAAACCTCTCCAAAAAATTTTTATACAAACTTAGAGAATTTAAGCAATCTCCTAACAAATATTGCTTACCAAAATTGACTCAAGAAGAAATGGAAAAGCTGAATAGACTCATAACCAGTAAAGAAATCAGTGTTTAAAAATGTACAGCAAGGGAGAAAGACAGATAAATATGAAGCCCAGATCCTATGTGGCCTTAGTATGAATTCTAAAAAGCAATCAAGGAATAGATAATACCAATATTATTCAACTATTCCAGTAAATAGGGAAAATTCTCCTCAGATAATTTTGTGAGGATAACATAACCCTGATATCAAAACTAGACAAGTCAATACAAATAAGGAAAATTACAGGTCAACTATATATTTATGTGTGCAGATACCAATTTATAGGTAAATTATTAGTTAATCAAATCCAGTAATGAATAAACACAATATAGCAGGAGCAACTTGTTCCCAGGAAAGCAAGACTGATTAGAAAATATATCAGTGCAATTCATTATATTAAAAGATTAAAGCAAGGGGGAAAAATGGTAACTTCACTAAAAACAACAAAAAATTAATGCAAAACACTTCTTCACATACTAGAAATAGAATGGAACTTCTTTAACTTGATAAAGGCTGTGCTAGAGATCTTAGCCAGTACAATGAAAAAAGTGTAAGGATTAGAAAAGAAGAAGTATAAATTTTATTATTTGCAGATAATATGACTGTCTACCTAGAAAAATTTAAAAGAATCTATGAACTATTAGAACTAAGAAAAGATTTCAGGAAGTTCATTAGATATAAGATGTGTGTGTGTGTGTGTGTGTGTGTGTGTGTGTGTGTGTGCATGGGTACATGGGTGGGTATGTGTTCATGGTGTGTGTGTGTGTATAACTGTGTATGTGGGAATGTGTATACATATATATGTATAAGTGACAGTAATATTCAATTTTAAAATATACATTTTGAAAGATACCATTTCTAATAGCAACAAAAACTATAAAATACATAAGATTAAAATTAGGAAAATCTGTACAAGACTTATAGACATGGTTTTCCTGTGCAGCCATGAACAAAGGTCTACTATACCACTCCAGAAGGCATCAGTACATAGATTCAGATACACAACCTCTGCAACTGTAATTCTGCACTTATAAAGTAAGTTCTATGATATCATTAAAAAAAGTACAGTAAATGTAAATGAAGTTTTTAACATGTTCATGAGTGAAAAGATTTAATATCATAAGTTATTGAGTCTCCTCAAATTGTGCAATAAATTCAATGTAATTCAAATTGAAATCCAAGGAGTATTTCATGACACTTGATATATATTCTAAAATATATCTGGGGAACTAAGGGCCAAGAATATAACCAAAATTTTAAACAAAAAGAAAATAAAAACATGTATCCTGTCAAATATCAAAAGTTACAATAAAGCTAGTCATTAAAGCAATAGTCTGGCCCAAAGACAATGACATAAGAATGTGGAACAGAAAAAAGATTCCAGAAACAGATCCACACATACATGGAAGCAATGTTGAAGTGAGTTGGCCTTAAAATAATGGGGACAGATTTTTTAATAAATGACACCAAGACAACCAGTTATCCACACTGGAAAATATAAAAGCAGGTCCTTACTTTGTGACATATGCAAAATTTAACTTGAAATAAAAGTATTAATACTAAAAACAATTTTGTTTGTGTAACTTTGTCACAAAGAAGGATCTCTCAATGAACACAAAAAGAACAAATCATAAAGGAAAAAAATTAATGAATTTGGCGATCATAAAAATTTTAAATCCTATGAATGAAAAAAATAACAAAAACAAAATGAAAACATAAGGCACTACTGGGAGAGGATATTTGCATTTTTAACGGTTTTTTTTAAAAATTAGTAACCAACATATATAGAAACTTCTGACAAATCAAAAAGCAACAGGCAAAAAACCAGTAGAAAACATGAGCAAACACTATGAATGAGCAAGTCATAAAAAGAGAAAAACCAAAAGAATAACCATAGGATACTCTGGTTTCTCTCAAGATCATATAAATCTTTTGCCTTTTACTAAAGATTTCTGTGGAGAGGAAAAACTCTGAGTCTTAAATTTTTGAGACCTTGTTTCAGCAGAAAAAGAATAACCATAGGAAAATACGTTCAAGACTTTCCCAGTCAAGGCAGGTATCCTTGAGAACCCTTATGTTCCATAGCCTCACACTAAATCCTACAGTTATAATCACCTGGAGAGCCTGGGTGTGGAAATCAGCGATGAGTAAGACTAGCCTGTCTTCTAAGACCTTGCAGTTTAGAAGGAAAAAAGGGCATGAACCATCATTATCGCTGCCAGGGAGCATGTAATAAATTCTAGTTTTCACATTCCAAAGGAAACATGACATTTACTATGTAAGCCATCATCTATGTTCTAGTTCCTAAAACAACTGAAAAAGGAAAAAGCCTCCATGGAATAACAGAAGATTGGACAGAAAGATCATAGACATCAATATTCTCTACTAGCCCCAACCCTAATACACTTGGGGAGTTGAGCTACTGCAAACTTCACAGTCCCACTTAGATATCTAAAGGGCAACTCAAACTCAACTGTCCAGAATTTGAAGTTATCATTTTTCCCCCATCTTGCTGACCTACACCTTCTCCAACTCCACTCTACCTTTGCAGTTTCTCAGATCAAAACCCTAGGAGTCATGTTGACTCATTCATTTCACTCTACTCCACTCCTAACTGATCTGGAAACTTTGATGGCTCACTATGCAAAATCTATCCAGAATCTGACCGCTTCCTTCCACTGCTATGGCCCTAGCATAAGCCACTACCTCTCACTGGTTCATTACAGAAGCCCCCCCAAACACTCCACCTGCCCCACCCTTGCCTCTACATACAGCAGTCACAATGACCTTTTAGAAAGGAGATTCTGATCATGTCCGGCCTCTGCTCCAACCCTCCAATGGATTCCATTTCAGAGCAAGCACCCAAGTTTTCACAATGCCTTACACGGCATGGCCTCTCTGGCCTCGGCTACTTCTCCCTCACGCTCTCTCTGTTCTAGCCACACCTTGGACTCGTTGCTCTTCCTAGAGCATATAATGTACATAGGATGTCCTATCTGGGCACTTTTGCAGGAACTGTTGCCTCTGCCTAGAAGACACTTTCCCCATATATCCATATGACTAAGTCCCTCACCTCCTGCAAACCTTTGCTCAGAGTCACCTCGGCATGGAGGCTTGTCTCTGACTACATGGCGGAAAATTGCAACTCACCTCCTGCCCTCAGCCAACCCAGGCTTCCTAATTCATTTACTCTACGTGAATTTTTCAGGCACCCTCTCCGCCCTACACACCATATAATGCCTGCCCTTAGTTCATTATGTGTGCCCTCCCTGCTTGAATTTTTGTTCATTTCTCCCAGTTCCTAGGACAGGAGCTGGTGCACAAAACACTGAACGGAACAGTTCCCTGACATCTCTGAGTCTTGGTATGCCCATCCTTTATAGCCAAAATTGTAAACCTGCCTCAAAAGTGCTCATTGCTGGAAAGATCAAAGAAAAACACTTTTAAAATATTCATCACCGTACAAAGAATGGGTAGGGAGAACCGCAGTCCTTCATTTCAAACAGATCCTTCATGAAAGGTAAGACGCACTCACTGAGCCTGCAGGGACTAAGGATAAGGCAAGTGGGGGCCTTGGAAGCTGCAAGAGAAGGGTAAAGGCCTCGGGTCACCCACTGATCCATTTGTTAAACTCTTGCTTGCACAGAGGTAGAAAGGTTCCTTGCTGGATAAAGACCATGGGGCTGGGGCCGGGGCCTGGCCAGTAGTAGCACTTCCTCCCCAGAGCATAGGGCACAAGATGCTGCATCTTCTCTAGTGTAATCAGGGATGAGAAAGGGTGTTGCAGATGTTGACAGTCACTCTGCAGTGTAATTGAATCCCTGCCACAACTCTCTTGACAATACAATGCAATTACATTTTACATACATGGGTTGCAGCAGGGCCAGGCACAGAGATTCGGAGTGTAATCTCTCTCACATTAGTGTGCAATTAATTTATTGTCTTCTCCACCAGGAGCTGGAGCCGCTGCTCCCAGTAATTGTGCTAATCAGAAGTCACATCTCAAATCCGCTTCCCTCTCCTATTTGTCATGATCACACATGGTGGGCTAGAGTTTCCAGCTGGAATATTGGGCCCTAGCACAGATGGGCTGAAATGTAACCCAGAGCTGCCAAGGGCTTCCCAAGGGTAAATAAATTTTGCATTTTCCCAGAGAAGGATTTCCAAGAATCATAAAGCCATGTTGTGCCAGTTCTGGGGGAGGTGCTGAGCCTGGGCTGGGGCCTGAAGCTTTCACCACCATTTCCTACTGAGCTGGGTCATCAGAAACCTAAGAAGCAAACACTATCTCCCCTCTCCCGTACACAGAAGGAGAGAACTACCTAGAGAGACGGTCCTTAAACCACACTAACTCCCTGGAACCCACCTTTCCCTGGCCAATCTGAGCTTGTCAGTGGCTATGCACTTGGTCTGAATGGAGGGAGCCTCTGTGCTCACTCAAGGCATGCCCTGAGATCTCTCCTAAATCTCACAATTGCCCTGCCTCCCATCCATCACAGAAGGGCACAGATTCCTGGAGAGAGGAAATGACAGGCTTGGTCACCCAGCTGGTTAGCATGAGCTGAAATGCAGGACCAGCTCCCTCTGCCCACACAGTCCACCACCATCAGAGTGTGAGGATTCTCCAAATTTCCTACACCTCCTTCCTACAGAGCACACTGACTCCTGGGGCTAACTGAGAGATTGAAGTTCTCAAACTGGGTGCACATAGTCTTTGAGACAGTCTGCAGGCCAGTCCCAGTCAGGGTGGCCAACAGGACTAGCGGGACAAGGAGAAAAGAGTCTGGGCTTCTCAGTTCTGGAGATGGAGGAATATGCTTTGCAGACTAGGCCAGGGCTCAGAGGTCCCTCCAGTGAAACAGGCCAGCAGGTGGGAGGAGAGGATGAGGTGTCCCCAAGAAAGGCCAACCATGAGAGAAAGTGGATACCATAGTTTATGGAGTTGGAGAAACTGTATGTCAGCATGAAAAGAGGGTAGAAGTCATTCAGAAGCACCCAAGAGGCTGCATTTTCTCTGTGTCCACCAAACGCACGTAGTCCAGCCCATGTTGCCCTTGGTGCCCTAAGGTGTCTCGCCGTCATTCACTCTTGGGGCTCCCAGTATGCCGAGCAAGGAGGTGAATTAGATGTAGTCTGCCCAGAGGGAAGGAAGGGGCCTAACCTGGTGGAGCCTGAGCCAGGACAGGCCAGGGCAATGGACCCAAAGTGTACCAGAACAGAGCCGCATGGCCAGCCCACGGCCAGCAGGGTGAGAGCCGCTCAGCCCTCTCCTCACCGCTACGACTCAGAACATTACACTAGCTGAGCACAGGCCATCCTGTACCTTCCTCTGGCAACCATGTGGCACCTGGGCACCATCTAAGGGGAAACCAGAGTCTATACTGGTTCAAATAAGGGGACCCTTTGACCACTGCTAAGGCTTTGCTAGGGTACCCAGTGGAGCTCCAGCAATCATTCGCTGAGTAGGACCCACATAGATGTCTGAGGGAGATTATCCCACCATGCTCACTCAGGACACAGCCCCTCCCAAGCTACTAGCTGGATGGAGTTCCAGGGTCTCCAAGCTCTGAGTTCACCCCACTGTTTCCTACTACACAGATGAAGGGAGCTGCCTGAGGTCACCGGGCAAGCAGAGTTCCACCAGGCTCCAGGATTTGGGACACCGGGTGTCATATTCTGCCCATCAACCACCCTCAGAAGTGGTGTGTGTACCCACTTGTGGCTAGCCTCCTAAGGCCTGCTGGCTCCCAAATGCAGGCTCTCTCCAAGGCTCCTTAACTGTTCCCACAGCCAATGCAGGTGGCCCTAAGTTCAGATGAGGGTCCAGGTGCCCACATCCCTTGGCGGATGCTGCCTTTGGCCCTGCTTGTGCTGCCTTTTGGGTCTGGGCTGGCACCAGCTGGACCCACATCACCTTAGCTGCTGATTAGGTGCCCAGTCTCAAGGCTAAAAATAAGTATTGCACCAACTAGTTAAGAAGTCACCGCTATGTGTGCCAGAATTTCCTTATCTTTCCAAAACAGACATTTTTACTGGAAAATTTGAAATGTTTTCATCTATCAAAATGCCAGAATGCTGTGCAGAGATCCCAACGCCATAGGCCTGGCAGGGGCCGCCATTCCGGGGTTTTAGTCTGAAGCCTAATCTCTGGTGTGCTGAGGAGCAGGCAGCTCCAAAGCACATGGTCCAGGGCAAGGTCACCTCAGGTCAGTCCTTTGCAGCTGCTTGGAGATACCCTAGCTTGGGTTCAAGTTCTGGCTCTGCCCGATTGTGACCTTGGATGAGTCACTATTTCACTGTGCTTCAGGTACCACTTCTGTAAAACGAGAATGATCTAAATTAAATAATACATCTAAATCATGCAAAGATAAATAATTGATGTGGGTGAGTGAAGTCTGCAAAACTCACATGCTTAAGAAGAGAAAATTTTCTGGTGACCTGAAGACAATCACTTAGCAAAGTGGTCAGGGCAAGCTAATCTTGGATGTTTAGTACCCACCTAGCCCCTATGCAAATTGGACAGGAGAGAGAGGCAGCTTTGGGATTAGGGCCTCTTGAGCTCAACTGTGAGGCCAGTGTCTATCCTCTACCTGCTAGTGAGACCCAGACTCAGCAAATTCACTGCACCAAAGTCCAGATATGGACACAGCTAGGAAAGTCTCCCACGCCCAGACACATCCTCAAAGCATTTACAGTCAAGAGCCCATGGCCCATGTGCCATGGTGTATGCTCCCCTACTCCTACTCTACCTCCAGAAAAATTCATGGATTGAGATTTGGTGGAAGGAAGATATTAAGTTTTCTCTTAATAGCTTCATGGTATTAGAAAGTAGGTCCTCCAGAAACAATTAAGTGATTAGGATCAGGCCTCTGTGACTGGCTCCTGGCAGTTGTATAAGGAGAGATTGATGGACAGAGATGTATACTCCTGCTCTCTCACAATGCATGGCCTCAGAACTCCACCGACAGGAAAACCTACTAGATGTGGTCCCTGAGTCTTGGAACTCTGAATC